TATCAACGGCTTGCCGAAACAATCAGCATGAAGTATTCAGTTAGTTCCCGCAAAAAGTATCTTCTCTTAGCCCTTCTTTTTGTTCCATCTCTTCCTTCAAGTGCTTCTGATCCTGTTTTTATCAGCAAGACATTTCATTTACTATTTTATCAGCTTCAGGACTCCACGTTTTAATCTAACATTTGTCATGTGAGCGCAGCGTCAGTCATGCGTCGAAGAAAATTAAGGCGTCCAGACACAAAAGTCTGGAAAAGAGACGACAGCGTAATATGGAGCAAAAATGTCAGCAACGAGCATCTGTTCAGCACGAAGAACAGGCTCAGAACTTTGCGGCGCATCAGATTGCGACTTCGCAGTTGATTTCCATTGATTTCGCAAATGCCGTAGAAGCGAGTAGAAGTCGCGGGGCGCACAAAAGTCATTTCGGTAATTTTGTGTACTGCATCGTTTCAGTTTCTCACGTTACGTCCCACTAGGCTATCATTTATAAAATGTTTGTTGCTTTGCATCGCTTTAGCAACCTTTAAATAGCTTGTATGAAAATTGTTCGTGTATTAGCCCCTGTGCACGTGACTTTGAGTGCGAGACTGAATTCGTCGTGGCGCATTTTGCAATTTCCCTTGCGGATTGACATTTCCATCAGTGATGCAGACACCATCCACTCGTCCGCATCGCATGAGATGCCGTACGAGAATGCAGAGCCAACACGAGCCGGCGCTGCTAACTGGAATGAATGAAGATGAAGGGAAACAGAACGCAAGCGACTTCGTCGACATGATGTGAAGTACAGACGGAGGTCGCAGACACTGAAGCCATGAAAAATCGTAGACACTTCGATTTCGAATATCGCAATAAAGAGAAAGAAACAAATACTGCGGCCATGCAAATACGCAGGGGAAATGCTTCGGAATACAGACGAAAAGAGAGGGCAGTGAATTGCGAAGCATTCTCGACGGTGAACCGATTTTGAATGTAGAGGAAGAGAAAGGGAAGCAAACGTTGTGGCTGTGCCAACACACTTATCCATTATATAGATCGAACGAAAGACGTGAATTTTATTGCAATAAGATTGCGTATGGAAGAAAATTCACCATGCAGAAAAAAAAAAAAGAAAATCGAATAGCGAGACGACAAGGATTCAAAGAGAGGAGGAAGACATAAACACTGAAACTGAAAGACTGCTGAGCAGTACCAGGATGACTTTGCCCTGGCAGGCAGATCCTGTAAACAGGGCTGCAGGACGTAAGGCGAATGCCGAAACGAAAGGTCCCGCCGAGATATCAGACTGAAATATAGGGATTGGGGAAGGCAAACAAATAGTGAAGTAATGCGAATCCGAAAGAATGTTGGGGAACTGCGAGAGCAAAAGCGCAGAGATCGGGAAGTGCGACAACAGCAAAGGAGCAGTTCTACTGCCGTTCTTATGTATGAAAATGCAATCACGGATGGCCCTAAGCACGTTTGCAACTGCTGCGGTCAACTGGAATTCAAGCATTCTGTTGTAACTCTTTAACTTTCAGAGTTGGAACAAGCAGGCAACGAAATTGATGCCCGAAGGAATCTGGTAAGGAATGTTTATTTACAGCAGTTCGAGAAGGATACACGCGAAACATTAAATGTTGGAAACAGCTCAGCTGTTGCCTTTCAAATGGATTAGATTTTCCTATTATAGATTAGATACTTCCTGGCCTGGCAAAGGTAGAGATGAGGTTGGTAGCAGCGTGTTACATATTCCAAACAGTTTGGCCGTCTTACGGTCCAAGTGGGCAGTTTCGCTGTGGAGGAGGAATTGTTAACGTTCCCGTCTCTGTAGACACGACAGTGTCATTACTCCCTCGTGTTCCTGAGGATACACATGTTGTGCATGTTCGTGTCGCATGGCGTATGCAATACGAAGGTAATTATATTTCCGGCAATGTTCAACCATCTCGTAGTGGATCTGACGAAACTACCTCTGTACCAGTTTCACAACATTGATATTTCGGACAGTTGGTTACAGCAGCACAGTTACAGTGAACGTCAGATAGCGAATGCAAACATAGAAGCGGGAGAAGACCTGGACGAAGCGGAGCCTGTTAACCCCGTTGCACAAGAAACGATTCTGTTGGAGAAGGAAAATTAGCATGGTATATGAACTGCATCAGGTGAAGAGCGCAGACCTCTTTCAGTTTTTCTGGATGAAGATACGGAATATCTGTCATTTCCAACTATTTTTGGAGGACAGAAACTGCAACTGGTTTTTGGAAACCAGGCAATGTCCTACGCAGATATAAGTATGTCTTTTGCGATGCAGTATGCAGCGATCCGATTATCTACTTTTTATGGCAAAAAAGAACGAGTTACTCAAACTTTCTAGCAATACGTCTTAGGAAAAAGAAGATTCGAAATCGCAGCGACATCAACGCTGCCAATTTGTGCAACAGCGATTTCGTCCATGGACATGTAGCGTACGGCGATGCTTACTGCGTCCTTGCAGGCTTGTGAAACTCATGCACGCATTGGCATAACGAAAAGTAGAAAGTATGGTAATGGTAAGACAGTTGGTTTGCTAACGTTCTTCCTTTTCCTTTCGGCTGCGGAAACACAGTGGTCAGAACTTTTGAAAATTCCGAAAGGATTTCTAGGTCATCAAATGATTACTTTAGAAGAAGCATTCACTTTGTCATACTTTGAAAAAGCACGACTGATTCAGTTGGATCCAGTAACATGTGGTCGGTATTTTCACTATCGCTACCAAGAGCAAACGAAACTCTGGAGTCTAGCTGGTGGCCAATTTGAAGGCAGAGCCATCACTCACTCATAGAGTGGAATTTCAACAACTTGGGTCACCTCATCTATACCAGCTTATTTGGTTAAGCGATGCTTCTATTTTCGACAGTTCGACAGGAACGAACGAGCACGAAGTATGCAATTTCATAAACTGGATTGTTTTATACTTCTATGTCGTAAATCAAACAAGACAGCTGGGGCCGCAAAACAATCCCTATTATCTTCTAGTCCAGAATCACATGCAGGCGCGTACGTGTCACAAATATGCTCCGGGAAAACGCAGATTTGAGATACTGTTCTACTCTGTGCGTGAGACTTGCATTTTGCCACCGCTGACCGTAACTATTGATGCACAGGAACGGGAGCATCTCGCTAAACTGCTGAAGCAAGTAAAGGCATCTTTAATTGAAGTTGAAAACGTGATCACCCTCAGTTTCGACGAATTTCTTCACTTATGCTAAGTTACTGATGAGGACTATCTTTTGACAGTAAGGACTGAACTGCGCAGATGCAAACTTTTTTTGCGGTTTGCGCCTTCTGATGTTATGATCAATCCATATTCACCGAAAATTCTGTCGACGACGAGTTCAAACATGGACTTGCAGTGCGTGCTTGACCCGTACGCATGCACCACATATATCATTGACTACATCAACAAGTCGGGCAGAGGGGTTAGTACAACAACTAAAGACATTATTAAGGGACTGCGAAAAGGAAACAGCAATTGATGTGAGGCAGTGTATAGTATTTCTGCTGTCCATTATGGTTTCAGTGACTTTGTAGCGCAAGGGACAATGTACAGCATTTTGCAGCTACCAGTGTCATGCTTTACTGGGCGAGTAATCTTCATACAGACGTCTTTGCCGGATGAACGTGTACGAATTCTAAAGACGCACGACGAGCTACGCACTTTGAACCCCGCTTTTAGCAATTGCTTTACACATGGTTTACTAGAACACTGTATGAAACGTCCAGTCGAAATCGAAAACAATTTTGCAATATGGTACGATTTCGCAAGGACAAGTTCTCGTGCTGTTACGGAAATACTGAGTTAGACGTTGATAATTTTGACAGCAGTGATAAACTGCACGATGCCTCTGCAAGGAGGAAGTACACATGTTTATTGGATGGTGTAGGTTACATCAGAAAGCACTCACGACCAAAAATCATTCGATATAGAATGTACAGTGCAGACGTGGGACCGGGGCATTTTTACACGGAATAAGTGATGCTCTACCTTCCATGGAGAAACAAAGAGAAAAAGAGATTATCGGTGCTTTTTTCAACAGGCACCGCGAAGCAATCTTGCGGGTTGGGCAGCAGTATCACTACTTTCCAAACGCCATTTTCGAACGTGCAATGGAGGAAGCCGAAAACGATGCTTATATCCGAGAAATTGACGAAGGGCCCGATCCTAATGCACCAGT